GGCGGTGGTTCATGCCGGTCCTCGGCCCGTCTGCTCCCTAGGGGTCAAACCCAGCCCGGGCTGGAGACTGAGCTCCCCCTCGAGCAGCTGGTGCAAAAACTTCCTCTTGCCGCACGGCTGTAGGGTGAGCGGGTGTACGGACACCTGAGTGCACTTCGCCTTCTCTGCCCTTGCTGCAGCCCTTGGTAACAGTCATCAAACTAAAGGCCCACCTACCCAGCAGCCTGGCTTTGCCACTAGCCAAGAAGCTGATGCCCAAAAGAAGTTGTGAGAGCAAAATAAGCTATTGATGTAATTCTGTGTGAACTATTGCTAGCACATCCCTTGTGTTTTAATATCCTTGAATGATTTTTCATTGATGGAAGAAGGATCTAGGTACTTTTTGAAGTGCTGTGAATTTGTAGCATCCATAATATCCTACGGAAAAGAGTTGCAGAGGTTAATGACAGGTTAACGGGCTGTAAAGATCCACCTCCTTTTGTTTGTTTGAAACAGCTACCTGCTGGCTTCATGCAAGTCTCCAGTAGTCCTACTGGAAAAGAAAGTGGAAATGGATTGTCCTGCAATTCTTCATCTAGAGGGGGTGTTATGTTGACTCCTCATTTCAGCCACTTGCACATATTGGTTTCTTTTCTGTTTTAACTGCTGCATCTATGGAACTGATAAATATTCTTGGTTATCCTTCTTGCCCTTATTTGCACATATTCTTCCTACATCCCTTTTCAGTTGAAGGGACAAGAGTGATACATAATATTTGGGATGCAAATGAGGCATGTATTTATATGACTATATAATGATGCTTAATTTTCTGTTGCTTTCCTAATAAATCCTTTCACCACTTTTACTTCCTTGACTGCTTCTTGAGCCTTGGGCAGATGTTTTCATGGGTTACCCTCAGATAATCCTGAGATCATGTTTCTGAGTGATAACGTTACCTGCTCAGAGAATGTCATTATGTATGGAAAGTCAGGATTGTAGTTTTTCTTTTCCCCTTGTTTTGCCACATGCGTTGCTTTACATTTACCTACTCTGAATTTCACCTTTACCTCTCAGTTGCTCCATATCAGGAGGTCCTTCATCAACCCCTCCCATAAGCCTTATCTTTACTACATCAGGGCAATTTAGTATTGCTAAAAAACTCCTTAACGCAGCGTTTGAATATAGCACGCACCTGCGAGAGGCACAGCATTCCTTGGAAACACCGGTCAGTCTTACTGCATGCATGCTTTGCGGTGCTTGCATCTGCTTCCAGCTCCTAGTGGCTTTGGAGAGAGCCTACGAAAGAAGGAGGCTTGGAGTACGCTGCTGCTGCAAGAGCAATATGTGTGCAATAGGATTTCATTCATCCTCTTGAGGGCTTCTTGGATAAGCACAGGCAACGGGCCGGGTGAATTGTCGTGGGTGCATATGCCTGACGCCCCTGCAGTAGAACACTGGCTACCAGCCCAACTTTTAATACAGGCATTAGTTAATCTTTTTGCACAAACATAGTGCACACAAACAGTTGTAGACTCATTTCTTAATGCACAGAAACTGACTAGTCCTGTCAGAAGATGGAGGAGAGTGCTTTTATCTCAAGGAGGAACAGTCAGCAGGCCGCTCTGTGAATCCACTCTATACACTGGGGATCAAATTTTAACAAAGTTGACTCAGCTGTTTCTTCTAAGGTGGTTAAGTGAAGTCAAATCTGATCAGTGATTACTAAAAAAAGTCTTTATAGTCTTGTCAGACTATAAATAAAATAGAATAATTTTGTGTTCTTGTGAACATGGAAGATACCTGATAATCTCTCTGATGAAGCTCACACTAGTCCAGTGTATTCAAACATAACAACAACAAACCAAATAGCAAGCATGCCAACAGCCTGAGTCACTCTTATCTGCTTTCTCAGTCGGCATTCCCTTTCTATTATTTGATTGCTTTGTCCCACCCTCCTCATGGTTATTATTGTACAGTTCTCGACTTATGAGCAGTTCATTAGGGCTGGGACTTTAATTATAGTTTGCACAATACTATAGTATGAATAAGTTAGAGTAGATAAGATTCTAGAGGGTTTTTGCAAGAGTCAAGGATATGCCTTGGTGTCTTTGGCAACAGATCCCCTGTCCTGACACAGTCTGTCACCATCCTCCCTCACCCGGAGATGTCAGTGGAAAAGGTTATTTAAACAACGTAATCTAGAGCAAAAGGCAGGAGGTGATGTGTGCTTGCATCGCTATGTGCAGTCTCTGTCTCCCTCTGGATGAAGACATCACTGTGCCCACATCTGCTGTCAGAAGAGGTTTGAGAGCATGCTAATCTACTTTGAGATCTACTTTGAGCTGTATTAGTTTAAATGGCTGACAAAGGTGGCATGAGGTAACTTTGATGACTTTGCCTGATGTGGTAAAAAGCAGATATAAGTGATAATGTCTTCACTGCAGTCATCTAGATCTTAAAGAGGACAGCTAGCCAAGGGTTTGTCTCGGGCATAAGTCTCTTGTCTAAGTGTTCCGACCCAAGGGGAAGGGGTCAGTGTGAAACCATATGATCTTTGTCTCCAGAGTCTCTGTTTGCTTCTGCTGAAAAGGAGGCTCTGTAGGAGAGATTGGACTATGGATGCATGTGTGTGGATCCACACCTTGGGAAGGTGTTAAGCTTTGTCCTCATCCCTTCTCTGTCTTGCCTTTTTTTAGAGAGAGGAGAAGCAGCTGGAGCTGACCCTGGAGGCGCTCATCAGTCAGGTGGCTGACCTGAAGAACTCCTTGGTCAGTTTTATCTACAAGCTGGAGAATGAGTACGATCGACTTACATGGTAAGGTGTCTCACAGAGCTGGGGGCACTGTTGATCACTGGTGAAGCTGTTCCAGACTCAGCTCAAAGGACCACAAAATACAATTAAAACCCATTAGCCTATTGTCAGTAGGTTTAAATTTGCTTTTCACATTTCTGCTGGAGGAACCACTACACATCTTCCACCAGAAAACCAGTTGAAATCCATTGGTTTCATACTGTATTGTAATAGAGTTATGCTAACACCTTTTAATCTAGACACTTTATGAGAACTAGACTTGCAGCTGCAGTGACTGGAAACTTCTCGAACAAATATCTTAGAGACCCACATACATTATAAAATGAGCAATGGTTCATTCTGCATTTCTTGACCTTTCTAGCTTTTTCTGGCTCTGGTATAAACTGAGCTCTTGTGTTTTGCTGGTTCTCCATGTTTTACCAAGCAGTTAGAGAGACTTCCAAGATGGCATTCTCTTCCTGATGGAGCATAAAGATGTTACGGCTACAGCTTAATAAACTATACAGTATCTTAGACAGTGTCTGCCACTGTAGCAAAGCTTCACAGAGAGTTTATAGTTAATGTTGCAGAAGGCAGGAGAGGTGATGAATCCCCCAGAGAGAGCAAGCTGAAGGGGACTTCCTTGACAGGATTATCAATTATTTTGCTTCATTATTACTTAGTATGGATAGTCAAGCTATAAATATCGTCTCTCCTGGCTGTACTGCTTAGGAGTTAAATTGTTTCTCAGACCTTGCTCTAGAATTGCAGTTAGTGATAAGGAAAGCATTGCTTTTGTGTATGTTACTGAAATCCCAAACAACTGCCACTTCCAGTGGTACTGCTTGTAATGTCCCTGAGATATTTGCAGCATTTGAGCTATTTTCAGTAGGGACTGTGATTTGTCCACACCTGCACATTCAGCCCTAGGCTTTACTGCTTACTGTCTGGAGTAGACTGATTTGAGGAATAATAGTGTTATTTCCTCACTTCTCAGCCATTTGAGTGAAGAAGAGATAAAGCCATCTGTGGCATCCCTTTCCATGTTCTGTCCTCTTTATTTGCTTTCCCAGGCCTTCAGTTCTGGACAGCTTTGCATTGCTCTCAGGGCAGCTGAACACCTTGAATAAAGTGCTAAAGCATGAGAAGACCCCCCTATTGCGAAACCAGGTTATCATACCCCTAGTGCTCTCTCCAGACCGCGATGAGGAGATCATGGTAAGAAACTTCCCACTGAGGGTTGTCCCTGGAGTATCAGAAAGTGCTTGTGTATCTGCTCCAGCTTGCTATTCCTTGTGCTGGCATTCCTCAGCTCTGGGTGTAGAGAAAGAAAAGGTGATGAGTAGTTCTGTCTGGGAGCTGCTTTACTGCGGGTCTTTCACTTACTTTGCAGGTTTCACCTCCACTTTACAGGAGGTGTTCCTGTTCATAAATATGTTTTTTTCATTATGTTGGGGATGAAAGAAATAGTGTCTTCTTGTGTAACTGGGAGGTCTCCTTGCAAGCTCCTGGTTTTCTCAGCCGTAGCTGTGCTGTTTCCGTCAGACATCGGCATCTAGATTTGCACTGTTTGTCATCTGACCAACATGGGGTATGTTACAGAACCTGTGGCGTGTGCTGGCAACTTTTATTCTCTGCTTGAGTGAGAAAACATTTCAACTGATGGTGGCCATGCTGGTGGGATTGCACTGCAGACCCCCATGGGTTGCTCTGACTAAACAGGCACAGTGCAAATTCCTAGACAAATTGTTGAAACTTCCTAATGCTCTCCAGATCAAGGTTTCCCCACAGCATGCTACTAGCCTTGTTCCAGCACCTTGGCCTGTGCTCTGGTCTTGAGCTGTCTGAGTGTGGGGCCAGAGGAGGAGGCTCTGAGTGTGGCTTGTCCAACTATTGCAGCGGCAGACAGAGGGGCGTGTGCCGGTGTTCAGCCATGAGGTAGTGCCTGACCATCTTCGAACTAAGCCTGACCCTGAGGTGGAGGAGCAAGAGAAGCAGCTGATCACAGATGCAGCTCGAATTAGCCCTGATGTGGCACAGGTAGGTGAAGAAGAGTTTGATACTTCTGCCTCATAGTCCTAGGGCACAAGATACCTTTTAACTCTGCTTCTGCACCCTTCCATCTGACAGTTTTGTTTTTTGCTGTGTCCTTTTCTGTCTGAGATTTCTCCAGCTGACCCTACCTGAGGTCTGGTTTTCTCCACAGTTTCACAAACCAAAGGTAACCAGCCTGCTGGCTGTTCACAGGAGGTGCAATCAGACCAGTCAGAGAAAGGCGAAGGCTATCCCATCCCCATAGTGCCCTCCTGCATGCGTTAGCACTGGGCTCTCTAGGCTCTGCTACCAAAATGCTTATGTTTGCTTACACAGATCCTGGGAAGAGAAAGCTTGTTCATTTGCCTTGCTGACTTGTACTGAGTTGGAGGTATCCTGGTGGTTTCTGATGGTTTTAATTTTGCAGAAACAGATCCAAAGCCTGAACAAAATGTGCTCAAATCTGCTGGAGAAAATCAGTAAGGAGGAGCGTGAATCTGAAAGTGGAGGTATGTCACTGAGGTGGAAGTGTCATACAGGTTCCAAGCAGCAGGCTTGAGAGAGTAGTGGCAAAATAGGTAAGTCAGAGAGCCTGAAGCATGGGAAATGCAGATGAGCAGCATAGATAAAAGCATTCCAGAAGATGCAAGATTGGCTGTCCTGGAGCCCCCTAATTTGAAAAGGGATCCTGTGGGTGTGCTGTGTCCTGCTTGTGTGACCTATGCATGGCGAGAAGGTCATTCCAACCCTTTGCTATATCCCCCTTTGAGGAGGTGGTAAATATTTACCAAGAAAACATCCCAATCAACTTGGATTAACAAAAATAGCTGTGAAAATGCAGTGGCAGTGAATGGGAAACCCTTTAGCTATGTTCGGAACAAGTACACAGCATGTTTTTTGGCAGGCTTTTGTGTGACGTCCTCTAGATGATGGCTGCTTCAGACTCCTGGTCAACCTTTTCTGGTTCTGACTGATGCTGGACATCCTTATTTTATTGGTCTCTGCCACCAGCTGTTCACTATTCCTGGGAGTTCTACGCACAACTCTCAAAGGTCGTGTGGGGTGTTTTTTGTCATCTTTGACACACACATAGTGCAAGTAAGGACCCAAGCATAAGTTCTGTCTGGTTTCCAGGATTAGTAGTGTAACTGGGCAGGTGTGTGGTAGAAAAACTTGCAGACACCATGCTGCTGCTGAGCCTCCAAAAGGGGATGTTGCCATTGTTTATCTAAAACACAGTCCTTGTTTACCTGCCATAGGATTCAGCATGGAGAGCCTTTAGTGGGAACATTCTCATGGGCATGGAGGAGTTGGCTCCCGCTGTTCTTCCCTGAGCAGTGTATGCCCTGCTCCCAGTGGATCACCACTCTCCCTGGATTTTGCAGCTTCTTTGACCCTGCTGAGACTCTTGTAGGACAGCTTGTTAGAAGCTGATCTCTATTACACGCACCAAAAAGGCAAAGTAAATTCAGGACCAGCTAAGCTACTTTTTAGACTTGATTGCTAAAATGCTCCAAAAGCACTTCTTTTTCTACAGGTTTACGACAGAACAAGCAGACTTTCAACCCTGCAGATACCAATGCGCTGGTAGCAGCAGTGGCGTTTGGGAAAGGACTGTCAAACCGGAGACCCCCTGGCTCTGGAGGATCTGTCCAGTCAGGCCAACCAGGAGCTGGTGCCATCATTGCAGGTGCTTCAGGCATGCAGCAGGTCCCAATGTCAGGTGCAGCAGCTCAGCAGCAGCCAATGCTGGCAGGAGTGCAGATGGCACAAGCAGGACAGCCAGGTAAATAAGTTGCCTATCTGAGAGAATTGAAATGCAGGGAGCAAGAAAGATAAATGTAAACGTAGAGATTCTTCCACAGTCATCTTTCAGATGCAACTGAGTAAGAGGTTCCTTTCTGGCCTTCATAATATGAGTCAGGTTGTAACAGTGGAGTAATACCGGCTTCAGATTGGCTCAGAGGTTGATATGGATCCCAGCCGTGCTGCTTCAGCTTCTTAACTCACACTGCAATACCATTTTAATAATAGACTTAGTGAACATAGGGATCAATATGGAGGGAGATCACAGTGTAGTTTTGCAGGGATCTATGCTGAGGGTTTTGCTGTCAAATTTATGTTCTGGGTAAGCAGTAAAGTGGAAAAGTTTGATGATAATGAGTTACTTAAGGTAAGAAAAAAACAAAAGCTGTCTGTGAAGAGTCACAGAAGGATTTCATGTATCAAGTGACTTCACTTAATAATAGTAGATTACATTTGTATTAAATATAAAATGAAACACATAGGTATAGCAATTTGACTTTAGATGTTCAGTACCTGGACTCTAACCTAGTTACTTGTATTTTGGAAATAGATACATGATATAATAGTTCTGTAAAGACATTAATCAGATGTTCAGTTGGGGCAAAAATGCAAACCAAATGTTAGGAATTACAAGAAAAGGAAATAGAGGATATCATTAGGCCATTGTATAAACCCATTGGGCACCCACACCTGCAATATTATGGGCAGTTCTGATCTCTTCTCTGCTACTGGGGATAGCTCTGGGGTAGGAAGGAGAAAGTATTGAAGCCAATAAAATCCCAAATTGTATACAGCAGGTGAATGGGGAATGATTGTTCACTGTTTCCCATGATACAGAAGGATCAATGAATGCACCAATGAAAATACTGGCTTGTAGATTCAGAACGAAAGGGAGATACTTTTCTGAATACTAAATAATTATACTGAATAGCACATTGCCAAGTGTGTGATAGATTTTATGTTTATAAAGTTTCTGTGACATGGGAAAGTATATAAGTAGGTAAATGTCTGGATGAAAAATCAGTCAATGACTAATCCTGAAGATACCATCTCTGACTCCAAGTCCCTGAGCCACAATATATTAGAAGCTGAGGGGGTATTCTGCAGAGATACCACTGCAGGCTTGCCCTGTTCTGGTATTCCTCCTTGAATGTCCTCTGCTGTCAGGAATGGGTTTGGCCTGGGGGACCTACAGGCCTAACCCTGTATTGTCATTCTTATGTTCATGTTAATTGAGATTTTGGATATCGGATATCCTGATTGGTGTTTTCTTGCCTGTATAATGACTGTTGTTCAGAAATGAACTTGAGCAACAATGTTAATCCTAAGTTAATTATGTATTTATGTAAGAGTTAGAAAGTAATTTCCACCGTGATTTGGAAAGAAAGAAGGCCCCTGTGATTTCTGGCTGCATATCCACAAATGCTGTCTCCAGGATGGGAAGACAGTCGCTTCTGTACGTCAAGCAGAATGCGCGGGTAACAAGAGCCCTTGCCCAGCCTGTGTTACTGGGAAGTTCCCCTTTGATAAGAGCAGCTATACTGGGTTTCACCAGAGGTCAGTCCCACAGTCCTCCTTTTGATAGTGCCCATAGCTGAGGCTGAAGAGTATCAGAACAAAGACTATCAGAACAAAGTATACCCTGACAGCAGTGGTTGTTTAGGGATTTTAAGCCAGAGTTTGGTTTGAGACCAGTGGGTATAGCAGCCATCAATTTCTGCAGTTCCTTTTGGAATTACAATTTTGACTTCTACAACACCTATGGCAATATGTCCCACAGCTTTATCGCATGTTTCGTTTTAAAAAATCTCCTTTTCATGTTTAAATCTTTTGCCTGATAATTTTGTTGCATATTTTCTTTTCACCTGTGTTGTGAGAAATGACAAATAATCATTCCTCAGTTACTTTCTCCATACTAGTTTTCATTTTTTGGAAGTCTGTCATGTCTTTCTCCCTTTGTCCATCTTTTTTTTTCCCCCCGGCTAATGAGTCCTATTCCTGAGAAACCCGATCTAGTTGGCGACGTCCCTGCTCATTGCAGGCGGGTTGGACTAGATGGCCTTTGAAGGTCTCATCCAACCCAGAGATTCTATGATTCCGTTTAATATGTCTTTGTGTGAAAATTATAGTATGTCTTGGACCATCCTTGTTACTCTTACCTGCACCTTTTCTGTTTGTTTTCAAGACTGGGAACAGCAGAACACTCACAGTATTCCAGATGTGGGTGAACCATACAGTCACTCTTCCTTTTGGAGTAATGTCTAACAGTATTTGTCTACTGATTGTTAGCACTGAAGTGATATTAGATTGCCTGCCAATTCATTGCAGGCAATGACCCACTTTGGGTAGGTTTGAGAAAGTTTAATAATCATTATCCTTTTAGCCATTTGCTCATCAAATCTTTTCTTGTCCTGCTGCACTACAGTTTTAATTTTAAGAAGCTGTCCTTTTTTTCTGTTCTAATTTGAACACACATTCCATTTTCTGAAGGAATGTTCTTTGAACATCCCTCTGTGCTGCTCTTCAATCACTTTTTGTTTATTTTTCTGATCATCTTAGGTTTTGTCCACTTGTAGCACTGTACACTTACTGTAAGCTGCTAGTATGATGTCTTTGAACACACTCCCATGTGTGATTGGTATCAGCAAAGAGTAATAGTGCCCAAGAAGTAGATGTGATTAAGAGAAATTAGAGATCTGAGAGACACTTACTAATTTAAATATATGCCCTGACTATAGATAATGCTGTGTGGAAAGGGATACAGGCTCTTGTGTTTGCCTCTCTGAAATAGAAGAGGAGGTGAGTCTGGGTACTTCTGTAAGTGCTGCTGCCAGTGACTTCTGTGAGACTGAACAAGTCCCACCTTCCTGTAGGAGCCTTGTTTAAGATGGAAGAAGGATAGAATTTGGAGGGATAGCAGGGGGATACAGGAATTGTCAAGGAGATTTCTCAACAAAGATGCCAGTTTGTAGAAGAGATTGATTATGTGATTGTGTTAGGTCAGAAGCTGGAAGATGCTGTAGCAGGTAAGCCTAAGTGTGGTACCTGGAGTAGAAGAGGAAAAGCCCAGACAGGGTTGTGGTGAGTCTTGAATGCTCCTGAGCAAATATCCTCTCATACAGCTGATTTTGCACTGCTTTTTCTTTTTCTTTTTTCCTTCTCCAGGAAAAATGCCGAGTGGCATAAAGACAAACATCAAATCTGCCTCAATGCATCCATATCAGAGATGAGCTGAGATAAACCAGACCCAGGGAATGGCAGTTACCAGCATTGCTCCTGTTGCAGCCACCACGCCTGGATTCCTTCTACGACTTGCAAGTCCCTTCACATATCCACACACCTTATCCAGGGAGATAGGGGTTATGAGGCCCTTCCTGGGTTATATTTAGTGCTGGGTGTCTTGTGTGGAACTGCTAGTGGCCATGTCTCCAGGACACAAGTAATTCTCTGCTCAGTCAGAGCAGAGGACTTTGCTTATGGTATTGATCCCATCTTCTTCAGGTCTGGCCTGGAGGACAACTGCTCTTTCCTGAAGAATCTGAAGAGCCACATGGAGCACTCTGCTCCTTGTTTCTGCTTTTCTGCTTATTCACTCAGGATGTTCTTTCCTTACTCCCTCTGGTTGAATAAATACCTTGTTATGCACACTGTGAGACACTGGTGTCCATCTCTTGGGTCATAAGGACTCTGATTGCCCTTTGGGTAAGGCTACAGAGCAGCTCCAATCTAAAATACACAGAAAATGTTGGAGGTTGAGTGCTGGAGCTGCAGGCTTATGCATAAAGAGCTGTTATAAAGTGAGTCAGCAGAGTACAAACATAAGCAATAAACATCTTGTTCATTGTAAACCCATTATGACTATTCCCCAGAAAGCAAAATACTTGGAAAGACTACTACAAGGCCCACAGCAAGAAGGCAACATTTCAGGAACAGAAGCACAGAGCTTTTGTATTCTGATGCTGCTGCAAATCCCAGCTGGATCTGATTTCACTTCCATGGTTCTCTGCTTCTGTGTTTCCTATAAAGTTTCTTAGCTATGTCAGGATTAATAGGTCACTTCAGAGAGGTATTTCAATCTGCTCAGGACCATGACACCTCTGAATTGGCCAGGCTGTGAGGTTTGACCCGTTCCTCTTTGGAACTGGGCATTGTGAAGCCATCCCTGTTCTACTTGCTGCCCTTGAGCTGTAACATATAATGTGCCTAAGGAAAGATTCCTCTGAGAATAAAGAGTGGGAGTGCATGCCCACCGAGCATGTCAGTACATACAGCACTATCGTAAAGACAACCGTTGTGCCTCTTGCTGCTCTTGCCTGGACTTCCCTTTTGACTTGTGGTAAAAGTCAGCACTGTATTTTACTCAATAGCATCTGTCAGCAATCTTTCGGGTGAGGAAATCTCCACTCAGCAGATACAGCCTGCAGCTGCTCCTGCACTGCTTGCCTCTGAGCTAATCAGACCCAGCTTATTTGTGCAGGCTGTGGACCATTCTCCCAAAACAAAACCTTCCACAAAGCTGTGACTAGGGCAGTTATGGACCTATTTTGATGTGTGGACCCTTGAAAAACACTGACCTGGGAAGTAGAAAGTTGAGCTGGAAGCACAAGCAGCTTATACAATAAGCTCACTGCAAATGAGCACAGTGATGTGTCTGCAATGGCACCAGCCCAGCCAGACAGATGGGATTGCTTTTTGCTCCTAATGAACACGGAGCTGCTGGCTCATTCAGGAGCCGCTGACTGCAGTGGGGAGCGGATGTGAAAGCAGGGGCACGCTGCTGGCTCCAGTGTGAGGGTTTTGTGAGATGCCTGGAGCCCTATGGCAGGGGAGTTGGAGCCTGCAGAGCTATGCCCTGTGATGGGCTGAGCACCGTGGGGATGGCTGTTCCCTGCTCTGTCTCATGTCCCTGCTTTGGTTGGGAAGGAAGTCAGAAAACTGTCAGAGGAACGTGTGTCAGATCCCTGGCACTCATCATCCATGGAGCCTGAGCAGGAGGATGCTGCTTCGCTTCATCTCCCCAGACTGGCTTCCTTATAAAGCTAAAATGTCTCGGCACAGGAGCACTGGGGCCAGCAGCTGGCCGGGGTGATTCGGGCAGCCTGGGAGGCAGGCAGAGCATGGCTGCCTGCTACCCGCGCTAACCTGGCTCTCCTGAAAACGCCTCCAGTGGGGCAGGCGAGACCTTTCACACACTTGGACAGGAGGAAGGGAAATACAGGCAGGGTTTTTTTCCGTAGATTACAGAGCCGGGGAGGCCGGCTAGGCTCGCCAGCGTAACTTCCTGCATGACACAGGCTGCCCTGAATTAGTTCTTGAGTAAATTAGAGCACTGTTGTTAGGACAACAGTTGATCTTGACCTGATAGTCTTTGCTACAGTGGCTGTTAGGTTGTTCTAAAGGTTAATTTTTTTATTGCACCTTATACTGAGGCTGCATTTCCCTTCAAGTTGCCGGATCTTCTCAGCCAGGGAGTGAGCCCCTGACTTGTTAGTCCCAGAGAGAGGAGTCGGATATTATGATCAAACTTTCCTGATCCTTTTTTAGAATAAACTGAACTGATGGAAGTCCCTTTTGCTTTAAGGCATATTTTCCATTTTCCCCCTCTTGGCTCATGTCCAAATATTCTTATGCATCTGTGTCCTTTGGGACTCTGGACTAGGACACGCTATTCTAATTGTGGGAATGGGAATTTCAAATGCAGAGCGACTTTAACCTCTTATCCAGTCGCTGCCAGTGCTTGAATGTTTAAACAAGGAACAGGAACAGGCCTTTTACTCACAAAGTCACAGTGGAAATTCACGGTCCACTGCTTGTTGCTGTGGCCTGCAAGACCAACAGGGATTCACCATTCCTGGTGCACAGTGTCAGAACAAAAGCACAGCCCTGCTGGGACAGAGCACAGGCTCGCTCAGTGCCCTGCTGCGGCAGGGGCCAAGCAGGCGATCGAGGAAGCACCCTCTCCTCGCAAACATGCGATGTGCTGCCGCTCTGAGCCCGCAGTGTTTTTTTCCCTGCCTTGTCCAACCCCTTTTTGAACTTGCCTCTTCCTGGCAGGATGATTTTGTCAGGGAGAAGGCTGAGCCCCAGCATGGCAAGCACTGCTCGGCTGTCTGGGCCCCAGCGCGGGTGAGGGAGTGTGATAGAGAGCACGGGCACTGGTTTGTTCTGACCCCCCAAGCCCCCCCTCGGTACCAGTCGGGCTCTAGTGCAGAGGTTGGACACCTTTGCTGCCCAAGGGCTCCAGATCACTGACGCACCCCTGGCTCCCAGGACAGCATGCTTTACCTGTCATGACTTCGTTTCCTTCCAGGCCATCAGCTTTACACTATTTAGCACTCCCTGCTAGAAATACATCCTCGGTGCCAATTCCCCAAGGAGCATCTCTTCTGCTGCCTCGCACTTGGCCAGGTCGCCGGCGCTCTTGTTCCTTGATTGCACACACTGCCGTACCAGCCAGCTTGCTCTCCGGTATTTAAGAGTATATAGTGCCACAAAAATTATCATGTTAGTTTGACAGGTTTGTTGTCTGTAATCCCTGCTGATTGGTATTTATATTTCTCTGCTTTAAGTCTTTATTGATACAATCACATATTTTTTGGTCATTATTTTGCATGGGATGACTGTCAAAAAGACACACCTGTTTATAAGGCCATCCTGTTTACTTTTTTAAAATGATGGCATAACATCAGCTTGCTTGTTCTCTGGAGCTTCTCCAGGCATCCTTGTCTTACTAAATGTCAGCATGAATTGTTTGGATTTTTAAAAACAAATTTTAGGGTTTTTTTTTTTAATTTTGAGATGCAAGATACCCAGACTGCTGAGTTTTTAGCATTTGCCTTTTGCAACTGTTGTTTAACATCTTCCTGAGTTACTGTTAGAGTGGAAAGCATTTCACCCGCGTGACAGGAATGCTTCAGCTGGCTTCCTCCCAAATGCAGGAGCAAGATATTTATTGCCTTTCCTTCCTGCACAGCTATCCACAGTCCCACCGTTCCCAGCCCGTATCGCGCATCCAGCCATGCTGGGTGGTGCCTGCAGCCTGTCCCGCTGCTGCCCTGAGCCAGCTCGCCTCTGGAAGCCGTGAAGCTCAGCGTGGTGCCACCAATTCCCTGTTTCTCTCTGCATCCACTGATCAGCACGACTGACATCTGCTGCGTATTTGTTCTCTTGTCCCATCCCCAAGCAGAGGTATGCGCACAGGTGTCTTCTTTTGTTTAAAGAAGAAAAACATAACACTTTTGTTTGTGTTTTTAACCTACAGATCTTTTAAGTGGGTGTCATTAAGCCTTTACAGTGGAGGTGAAGTACGTAAGGTATGAGGGGAGATGTGACTGAAAAGAGCAGGGGGACAGCTGAGGGAGGGGAACCTCTGCAGTTCTCCACTCTCTGTACTGCAGCTAAGGCAAGGAAGGGAGGGTCTCAGCGTGGGCTGGGGGCTGGTTTCCATCCTCCCGCTAGGGTAGGACCTTTCTGACAGAAACATCTGAGACCAAAGGAGAAGTCTTTCTGGTGGCTGGGTTGAGGGAGCCTGAGCACTTTTTTATGCTAAGAAGCAACATAATGGGGTATGAGCTGCCAAAAGGCAGTAAGCCAAGTTTTGCATCTGCATCACTCCCAAAGCAGCTTCACCTGCAGCTCACATAGGAGAGACAAACACATGGAAACAGCACCAAAACGTCCCTTTGAACTGGCCATTGAAAAGCTTGGGAACTGCTTGAAAGTCAAAGGCACAAACGGAGGGAAAGCGGCTGAGTGGTGGAAGCAGAAACCCCAGGTTGGCTCTCTGCTTTCTCCTGGGCTCCCCCCATAAGCTTGGTGGCCCCAGGAGAACCAGAGCATGTTTATGTGGCAGCTGGTGCCTGCAAATGAATGTACAGGTGCCTTGGAAAAATCCCATGGAGCTCCTCCTTCCAACTGAGTGCAATAAATCTTCATTGGTCTTAGAAGTATGTTGTTACCACTTTGTACTTCACAGAGTTCCTGTGGTAGTAAAAGCATACACTTAAGAGACGGGGTGTTTGGATGTGCTTGTAATATATGCCATAAAGATTGTTCAGACTGATGTGACTCCACAGTTTGTTTATTGTCCTTATGATACTGTAGCTCTCTGGCTGGATCCATGAATATTCCCTTGGAGCAAACCTGCACCTAGAAGTTAATGAAAACCTTCTCCAGTTTGCTCAGGGGTAACCCTGTGCATAAGAGTAATGCAAAGTGTGCTGGCTGGCCCCTCTGAAGGAGAAGCTTTTGTCTCTCTCTTTTTTTTTTTTTTTTTTGGTATGTGTTTTTTAAAGAAAGGAAATTACTGCATGTATTTGTCTGACCGAGATGCATCTTTTCCGAAGTCAGGGGATCAAGAACTGTGGTTCCCGCAGCGGCTATCTTGTCACTGCTGCTCAGATTTTGTCACTGATTTACCTGCTTGCCATGAGGCTTCTCCCTTTGCTACCGTTGTGTCCAAGCGGTGTCTGCACCGAATTAGCAGTGGTGCTAAGGTCCCATTTGGCATGGCAAACTTTCCTACTAAGTAAAGACTGTGTCCCAGGGTATTTTTGCATTACTTTTTTCATTGAATGTTTGCTGGCCATGCTTTGGGACAAAGGGGCATCATCGCTCTCCATGGGTGTTATTTTGAAGCTGCAGCATTTCCCA